GGAGTGGTTGAAGATGATGGTTGGAACGAGGAGATCAGAGGAAGTAGTGGATCCAAACATAGAGGTGAGACCACCTACAAGATCATTGAAGCGAGCCCTCTTGACTGCTCTAAGATGCGTCGATCCAGATTCCGAAAAACGGCCAAAAATGAGCCAAGTTGTTCGGATGCTTGAGTCCGAAGAATACCCCATTCCAAGAGAGGTTAGTTAGTCTTCTAACAAGTGACAGATCCAAACGTGGAACATAACAAGTGATGGCAACTTGATAAATATGTTCCTTTTCAGGAACGAAGGCGTCCAAGAACGCGAGAGGGGAGTATGGACTCAGACATTGACATGAGTACACCAGTTTCAAGATCACAGAGCAATAGACGATAAATCCGAGTAATCTGTCAATATTGAGATTTTTTTTAATGTGCCTTCTGCGCAAGGTGACAAGATAAGGTGGAGTGAACCAGACTATGTAATGATTGTTAAGAACTCTGCTATTCTTTAAACTTGTCTTTTGCATTTGTGGTTTTTGAATTTGTGGTAAGTAGACCATAGATGATTGCTTGTACATGGAATTGGGTTTGTATTTATTGTTCCTTAAATTAAAACAATGGTTTGGTGTGTACGATGTTATTATTGCATCAACTTTTATTTCAGAATATGCTCAACCATAGAACACAAGATTCACATTGCAACGATTCACAAGAAGCTCATTAACCTTTCGTCCTTCAGAAAGTTTTCGTACAATAATACTTACATACCAATGTTGAAGCATCCGGTCCCGTAGCTTAGCTGGTTAGAGCGTTGCTCTTATGAACCGAAGGTCACGGGTTCGAGCTCCGCCGGGACCATCTCAAGCTTATATTTTTTGAGGTCTCTTATGCTTAAAATCGTCAAGGCTTTGCTCATTGGACAGAAGAGATCAGACCAATCCATTGTAACTATATCTAGGTTAGCCATGGGCATTCAGTTCTCGATTCAATTTCTGTTTGTTTTTTCCGTTTTATAAATTTAGGATCCGAGTATTTAGAAAATTTGGTTCGATTTCGGTTAGATTATTTTTGTTTCCGGTTCTTTCCGAGTAACAAATTGGAAACCGTGTAATATCTGAAATAATTTCGGATCACGCTCGATTCTTGTTCGGTTCCAGTTTTTCGGTTAATTCAGTTTAAAAATTAGAAACTCGGATCTTATAATTAAATATCAGATTTTCGAGATTTGGGACAAGTATTTGGTTAATCCAGATAATTTTAAATATTTCGGATCAAAGGTGGAGTGAACCAGAATATGTAATGATTGTTAAGAACTCTGCTATTCTTTAAACTTGTCTTTTGACTTTGTATTTATTGTTCCTTACATTAAAACAATGGTTTGGTGTGTACAATGTGATTATTGCATCAACTTTTATTTCAGAATCTGCTCAACCATAGAACACAAGATTCACATTGCAACAATTCACAAGAAGCTCATTACCCTTGCGTCCTTCAGAAAGTTTCCGTACAATAATACTTACATACCAATGTTGAAGCATCCGGTCCCGTAGCTCAGTTGGTTAGAGCGTTGGTCTTATGAGCCGAAGGTCGCGGGTTCGAGCCCCGCCGGGACCATTTTCAGCTTATATTTTTTGAGGTTTCTTATGCTTAAAATCGTCAAGTGTTTGCTCATTGGACAGAAGAAATCAGACCAATCCATTGTAACTAAAAGAGAAAAATGTGTATCTAGGTTAGCCATGGGCATTCAGTTCTCAGATTCAATTTCTGTTTGTTTTTTTCGTTTTAGAAATCTAGGATCCTAGTATTTAGAAAATTTAGTTCCATTTCGGTTAGATTATTTTCGTTTCCGGTTCTTTCCAAGTAACAAATTGGAAACCGCCTAATATCTGAAATAATTTCGGATCACGTTCGATTCTTGTTTGGTTTCAGTTTTTCGGTTAATTCGGTTTAAAAATTATATAGAAACTCGGATTTTAGAATTAAATATCAGATTTTTTTAGATTTGGGACAAGTATTTGGTCAATGCGGATAATTTTAAATATTTCGGATCAAAGGTATTCGGGTAATTCAGTTTTTTGGTATTGTAGCTTTGTAAATAATAGTTATTAGTTAGCTGATTATTTTAAAACTTAATATAGTTAATATTTATAAGTATATAACCCATATTATAGAAATTGGTATCCATTCAGTTTTTCATTTGGTTTCATTTTTTGGTTCTTGAGATGATTAATAGGATTCAAAGAACCTCTTTTTTTGTTTGTTTAATTCGGTTTGGTTCTAAATTAATGTACACATGCCTAATTTAGGCTATTAGAGCATCTACCTCCGTAAGTTTCTCAACTTGATTAAGTCATAATTAGAAATGTACAAAAATATTGTTTTCCATAACTTCTTCTACAATCCCTTTCAATCAGCCATGTAGTCAAGTTCCCAATAACCAAAGAAAAATCGAATTTGGAATAAAAGAATCAATTTCAAAATGTTTACCCACACTCTTGGACGACTTCAGAGTCAGAAAAAATGGAAAAAGGGAGAATTGACCACACATATAGGAGAAGTTGAAATTAGGAAAAACGTTCAGCAAACAGACTTATATCATAGGTTCTAGGGGTTGGGACTGAAGAGCCTTATACAAACAAAATATTGTCCAATTGTACTTGTGACCACATTTCACCTCTACACTAAAACAAACTTATACGGCTATTTTGCTAATCCATACTTTTATTATTGTTAAAAAAACTCAAAGTGTAAGCTCTCTTTATCAAATAAAGAAAGTTATATATATATATATATATAGAGAGAGAGAGAGAGAGATTTTAAAGTGTTCACTGCAGAAAATTAAGAAAATACTCGTAATATATACATTTTTAGAATTAGTAAGTTCAAGTGAGTGTATTTTTATTCCCACCAAGATGGATAATTTCGTCTCCAACTAAAACAAAAAGCATACTGTTTATCCGATAAATACGTTAGTATTTTATATAAAATCATGCAATATATCTAACGTTAAGTCCTTCACGACTATTTTTCCGGCTATGTGCTAGCCTAAAGATCCTTACTACTCCGAAGATACATTCTTCATTACTCGCGTGAGACAATTTGGCTAAACCTATCACACCCTAAAGTCTGCCACAGGCATAGAGAGGATAACGAAGTCCATTACTACTACCTTTAACTTTTATTCTTTTTGTATACCCTTACAAATTTGTGTATCTACAAACATTATATATACATGTATATTCTCATCATTCTTCATCTCATACAAGTCACAACACATTAACAAATATGTCATCCCCTTCACTCTTGTATGCATACTTCTTGATCTTATTAGCATCATCGTCTCGAGTTACTCACAGCATGGATCTAAGCCCATCACCAGCTCCAAATCCAGCTTATTATGATGATAACAACAATGCCTTAGCTGCCTTCGACGTGACTTCGTTTGGAGCCATCGGAGATTGCAGGACGGACGACACTTCAGCATTCAAGATGGCATGGGACACGGCATGTATGACCACAGGTGTTGACTCAACCGTGCTTCTTGTTCCTTACACCTATTGTTTCTTGGTGAAGCCAGCCAGTTTCAATGGTCCTTGCGGAACTCCTCTTACCCTACAAGTAAGCTGATTAATTAGCCTTATTTCAAAAACATAAAATGGTCTTTCGTCTTATGTGTGTGTTTTTTTTATCTTCCTTATAGATCGATGGGATCATTGTGTCCCCTGATGGACCAAAGTCGTGGCCATGGAACTTCAAGAGGCAGTGGCTAATGTTCTACAGAGTGAACGGATTATCAATTCAAGGATCTGGTCTTATCAATGGCCGTGGTCAAAAATGGTGGGACCTTCCATGTAAATCTCACAAGGGGGTTAATGGAACGACTCAGCCCGGTCCATGTGACAGTCCTGTGGTTAGTCATTGTTTTAACATTCACATTTGTTATTTACTTATAGTTTTCTGAATTTAATTTGATATCAGGCAATTAGGATATTTCAAAGCTCAAAAGTAAAAATCAAAGGGC